ATCTCTGAGTTCAAGGCCAGCCTGATCTACAGAGAGAGTTCTAGGACAGCCGGGGCTACATGGGAAAAGAACACTGTCTTAAACAAAACAAGGCTGAGTTCTGTTGTCTCTGTCCAGACTAATATTCTTACATCACCCAACTGTATGGCTTTCCCTGCCAATGCCAATGTTCCCATCAGGGTAAAACATAGGAAGGAATAAGACAGGCAAAGCAACATGAAAATAAACTAGGAATAACAAGACACCGTGGCCGCCCCAGACAAGACAACTATCGGCCTTCTTGGTTACCTCGCCCCTACGATCACTAGGTAGTCAAGTAACCGAGGGCAGAACTTCTTTTGCACCATGGTTCCAATTTATCAGTTCATCGCAGAGAAACTTCAGGACACCGAGCAAGGAGTCAGCGTTCCCAGGAGGAATTCCGATATAATCTGAAAATTCAATCGGGGGGGAAGTGCTGATAAATACCCACTGCTATGCCTAAGGGGATCATCCTTCTCAGTTTCATCTTGCAAGGGGCAGAGGCCAGAAGGCCTTCCACTTCAGGACTCAGGATAGAATTTGACACTTGCTTAGCCTGGGTTGTCTGGGTTTATGGGCTTCCAGAGTCGAATTTCAAGTAGAAGAGGGGTTGAGGGTGTAGCTTAGTGGTTCAGCACTCACTTAGTATGTACGAGGACCTGGTTTCAACCCTTAGCACAACAAAAAGGTGAAGGAAGATGAGTTGAGGAAATAATGTCTCAGCGCTAACTCAGCCTCATTTCTGGGGCTCTGTTTCTGAAAAACAGGTCTAGACAGTCTAATCTAGACTGAATACTTTTATGATAACGAAAAAGTCGGGCTGAGGACTACTCCAGGGGTGAGCGAGACCAAGCCAGACTCTTTGAACAGCACTAGTCTGTGCTTTTATGTCTGGATGGAAACCTAATTATTCTGCCTCACTGAGCAGCACCCAGCTTGATGTGTGGCTATCATATAGACTTTCTGGTTAATTGCTCTCAGACACTAACAACAGCTGGATACTCCAGCTCATGTGACCGCACAAGAAGATCGTCCATGTCCCAACTGCCTCAACTCCAGTTTTCCCAGCAGCAACTGCGACTACCTCTGCCCTTGGTGCTGAACCGATAGCCCTGCTCTACCCTGGTCTTGGTAATACAATATGTTCCCCGGAGGCCTGATCTTCCTTCATCTTGCAGAGATTATGAATTCGATACTGAAAATACTAGGGTTTCTGCAAGCTCAGGGGAAGTGTTCAAGGGAAACTCTAGACGTGTTAAAAATCAATTCTTTCCTGGGGGTCAGAGAAATGGCTCGGCAGTTAGAAGCACTCAAGGCTCTTCCAGAAGACCTAGGTTCAGCTCCAAGGACCGGCACTGGGCGCCTCATAGCTGCCTAGTTCCAGGGAACTGCTGCTCTTCTAGTGCTGAACTCACGGAGCGCACATGCTCAGTAACACATGCATAAAATGAACAAATATATATTAAAGAATTTCAGTTTTGCCAGGAGTGGTGACACACGCCTGTAATCCCAGCACTCAGGGAGGCAGAGGCAGGAGGATCTCTGTGAGTTTGAGGCTAGCCTGGTCTACAAAGTGAGTCTAGGACAGCGAAGGCTACACAGAGAAACCCCGTCTCAAAAAAAAAAAAAGAAAGAAAAAAAATCCAATTTTCATATACTTTGAAATAAAATGTTTCACTCCAGTCTAGGGCATTTCCAGTGCTTCTATGCCACTGAGGCTTTGTCCACTGTACACACACACCTAAACACACACTTCACTTGCTGTGTGCACTCCCATACTGCAAGCATAGATACTGCCTGTAACACCGAGGGCTCTACTTAGATAACTTTTTTTTTCTCCTCGATCCACAAACAAGACCTATTTACAATACTTCTGGTGTCCTCAAAATCCTGGTCCCTTTTTCCCCCTTGCTCCCAATAGAGGACCCATAGGTAATAGGATTCAGTTTTGTCTCCATAGCGACTCTGGCTCCAGAACTATTTATAGCAAAGCCACAGCCCCTCCCCTTCTTGGTGGCCGAACAGTGCTAGCAGCTGCTACTGCAAAGTCAGTCATGCCCCATACCATTTCATTCCCCCTAACCCTGGAAATGCCTATTCCATTGATAGTACCTACTAAGAATCAGGTTATCTTTACTTCCATCCATTTGTTCATTTTTTTAAATCCCACTTGTGGCTTTTTATAGAAATAGCTCTTCACCAAGTTCCCAAGCATGCCACACATTTAGTCATTTCTGGGGGTTCATTACTCTCAATAACCCCCAAACAATCCTCTGGTTCTCCTAAACACTACTGAGATGAGCATATTGCAAAAGTGGGGCACCCTTAGCTCCCCTGCTCCTAAGAAAAATGAAAGAGGGAAATGAAGCTATGAAATGGGACATACGTAAAAGCCATGCTGTGTTTTATACAGAAGTATCTAGCTATACCTAAGACCTATCTACAGCACTGAACCATAAAACAAAATTTGTCGGACCAAAGTTGTAGGTCAAGTCTTTAAATACCGGCTTACATTGAAAAGCAGAAGCATCTTCTGGCTAAAATCTCAAAAGCAGGTGCTGAAGCTTTCTCTTACTAGTACATTAGACACAGGGGCCTTTCTAGTAGTGGTGAGATAAAGCCCCCCTCCAAATTCAAGTCAGTTGCTATGTTCTACAGTTCTCTTCATCTTTCAGAGCTCCAAGAACCCGAGATCTTGGGACTATCCTAGCTAACAGTGGTAGAATGTATTTTTTTAGCCTCAATTTCTAGCCACTGACTTCAGATACTCAGATACTTCAGATACAGAGCTAACCAAAGCTGTTCTTTTCTACCTTTCCCAGACTCTAATCCTCACCTATAACTCAGTCTTCATTCGGATTCTGCCTCTTGCCTCAATTTTATTGACTAACGTAATGCCCCTAGTTCCAGTCCCCCTGTCCAAATCTCTAAATGCGTCCCTTTCTGCTGTAATCCTACATCTCCATCCACATTTAGAATCCTCGGACTTTTAGATAATCTGTGCCTTTTCAGCCTACAATGGCCACGCTACCAACCCTGTGTGTTCGTGCCTCATCTGGGGCAGGATAGTAAAAACCACAGGAACCCGACCCAAGGACGATATGACATCTTTGCTGACGTGAGCACAACGGGAGGCTTCCTCTCCTTCCTCCTCCTCCCCAGGCAGTGACCTTGCAAGCTCATCAGCAGACTGGTCCAGCATGGGGGGAAGAACTGGAGCAATGAAGCCAGTGATGGTGAGGACTGAGGGAGGAGGAGAGCACGCGAAGAACTGAGCTTTTCAGGAGGATGGGAAAGGGAGCAGTTGCAGCAAATGATGAAATGGTGTGCGAGTCTTCAGCAAGCCAGGACTGATGGATGAAGTGTAAATATATATGTATACGTTAGGGAACCAAACGTGGTTCTCCAAACGTTAATCAAAAAAAAAAAAAGAAAAGAAAAGAAAAAATAATAATAATAAGGCGTGAGCACGCACGCGCACACCAGCCAGGCGCCGGTGCCTTCCTCGGGCCCGGGGCTGGACAGCTCTGCCCGCCCCCTCACCTGCTGGACAGCTCCTCGCCCCTGCCCGGGAACCCGCACCGCGAGCCCGCCGCCCTCCGGCGGGGCAGCGGGGCCGCCTCGGCTCGCCCCCCGCCTCGCTCTCTCCGCGGGCTCCACGCCCCCTCGCGCTCGCTCCTCCAGGGCCGCCTCGGAACCCCGGTGGCCCGGGAGCCGCCTCCCCTCCCAGCCCCGGCGGGGCTCCCGGCGGCGCGCGCCCCCCTACCTGCGCTCGGAGGAAGCCGCCGGGCCCGCCCGACGGCTCCCGGCCGCGGGGCGCTCGTCGCTTCCTAGCCGGGCGGCGCGGCCGGCGGGCGCCAGTTCCGCGTCTGCACCGGGGGGCGCGTACCACTCGGCCCCGGGGCGGGAGGGGGAGGCCGAGGGGGCTGGGGCCGTACCATTCGCCGCCCGGGGGGCACGGCCGCACCGAGCCGGGCGCTGCGAGCACGACGGCTGCGCGCACACCTCGCAGGGTGGGAGTGGGAACGCGCCGGGAAGCCCTGGGCCAGCCCAGTGCAGGCAGGTGTCAGAGGGAGGACCCAAAAGGGTACGTTTTGTTTTGGCTGCTCAGACAGTTTTCAATTCGACTTGGCTATAGGGCCCGTCTCGCCGAAATGACGGCTGTTCTGAAAGTACTTCGCCGGATCGAATGCCCCCAAGACTTTCTGACAGTTTCTCTAAACCTCATCTGGGTCCCCCTGCACGCCGCTTGGACGTGCCCAGCCGCTGAGGCTGGGAAGCCAACTAGTCTGCCGCTGGAATCTACCAATTCGGGATGGAGGGGACACTTCAGGCTGGCGCTTCCACAGTATCACCTACACCAAGGTAGGGGGAACGAGAACGGAGCCGCGATGCCCTCTGGGAAATGGAGTCCAGTCTTTTTGACAACTCAAACACTGGTCATTCTTCACTGGCCTCCGGGGACTTTCCTTCAAGTCCCACAGGGCCCAGAGCCCGGACGGAAGTATTGCCCAACCCTGGGTCTTTAACGCTGTACTTTTTTTCAGATGATGGTGGGAAAAGTAAAACATTTGTACGCACACGTGGAGTGGACTGCTGAGTCCTAGCTGGAGCCCTAACTCCCGCCCCTCCCATCACAGAAATAGCACCTGCTCCTCCTGGATCATTAAAGGGGAAGGTGAACTTAAGCCTAAGCCTTTCCCTGAAGGCCTGGGCCTGTGCAACAAAAGCTGTCACTTGTGATTCACTGCTCTCCTCTAGGTCTGGAAGCAGGTCCGTTAGGATCTGCTTCCTCCACGACGGCAGCACCCCCACCCTCGATCCAGAAATTTGTTTCCCCAGTTCTATATTCATCTTGGCCTTCCTGTTTCAAGTGCCATATCTATTGAAGCAGCCCTGAGGCATTTACAGCCAAGCCACAGAGTGATAGTGGAGAATTTCTTTGGGGCCCTGTGAGAAAAAACAGGAAGTGGCGGAGGAAGGATGGGCAGGGCCCTGGAGAACCCTGTGCAAAGTGGCCCTCTTGGCTAGTTTATTCGGTTGGGTCAACATGGTCTTCAGATGGCGCACAGTGTTAGCAGGCTCCTAACTGCGCGCAGCCACAGAGTACCCAAACCTTTGGCTCTCCCTTAATGCCATGCAAAGATCTCCTTCACCCAGCTCCCAGGAATGTTTGCCCTTCTCAATCCGCTCCACTCCCGGGAGCAGTCCCAAACCACAGAGGATAGGAGGAAGAGCGGTCATTCGTGCACATCCCAGATCTCAGACAGCAGCGGGGGGAGCTTTTTGTCCTGCAGCCGAAGTGCGAACACTTGCTCGGAATGGACGCTGCTCAAAGTCCGAAGGCTCACCAGCTTCATTAGCATCCGTGGGAACATCAGTCGGTCCTGGGGGTGGGGAGGGGGGTGTCTAGCTGTTGCTCCTCCCCGGAGAAGTTGAGATGGGGCAGGGAAATTGTAAGAGGGGCAAAGGAGTCCGTGCTAGGTGTGGGCAGGATCCTTGAAAGAAAGTGGGTATCAGAAAATGGGCCCGAAGAGCAGAAGAAAAGGGCAGAGAGGGACACTCACGTGGGGGTGGTTGATGGAGACATAGGCGTGCAGGGCCTCCACATAGGTGTGCTGCAGCCTCTCTACTTGCAGCTGGTCCTGCACGTTGGGCCGGTCTGTAGGACACCAACAGAGTTGAGGAGCAGGGGTGGCCAAGGTCTCGGCTCCATACCCCAAATCACAACTCCCAAATAGGAACATGTCCCAGCCAACCTCTCTCAGCCACCGTAGGGACTGCAGCCCTCCCGGGTGAAAGGCTCTTACTCAGTTTCCCTCCTGCCCCCCCCACCCCCGTACCTGCAGAGAAGATGCTAATGGCAATGAGCAAAGCAAACTCAGCGTCGTTGAGTTGCAGTTCATTCATGGCTCTGGAGAACTCAAAGATGGGGTTGATGAACTCCACCTGAAGCCCTGGAGGAGAAGGAGGGAGGCTGAGGGTTGTGGCAGGAGCAGGGAGAACGTCTCTAACTCAACATGAGGAATCGCTAGGAAGTCACTAATGGGTCTCCAGGCTTCTGCTATGCGAGAACAAGCTTTCTCTAAGCCTCCTCTGTGAAATGCAAGTCACAGCAGAATCTAACAGAACGAGTGCACTGGGCATGGTGGAACAGGAATGTAATTGAAAGGCTGGGGTAAGAGGATTCCAAGTTCTAGGCCACTTTGGGCCACGTAGCAAGATGGTGTCTCAAGACAAAATGAAAAAAAAAAAAAAAAAAACAAACCAAAAACCAATGGTGATGGTGTAATGGTTACTTGACTGTCAACTTGATAGACTCTAAAATCACTTAGGAGACAAACCTCCTAAGCGCCTGTGGTAAACAGATAAATAAATAAATAAATAAATAAATAAATAAATAAATAAATAAATATCATGTCTGTGAGGGACTGAATAAGAAAGAAGGTGAGCACACACATTCATCTGTGTCTGCTTCCTGACTTCCTGTGAATCCTGTGACCTGCATCTTCTGTTGCCACTCCTCACCCCATGATGAACCGTACCCTCAAAGCAAGAGCATTACCACCCTTCCTTCTTTAAGTTGCCTTTGGAAGGTATCTTGTCATGGAATTGAGAAGAGTAATCCAGATGGTTGTATGATAAAGTATGCAGAAGGTTTAGAACCATGTCTGACACATAAAAAGTGTTGAACTAGGCTGGGCAGTGGTGGTGCACACCTGTGATCCCAGAACTCTGGAGACAGAAGCAGGTGGACCTCTGAGTTTAAGACCGCCTAGTCTACAGAGTGAGCTCCAGAACATCCAGGGCTACACAGAGAAACCCTGTTTCAGCCCCCACCCCCTCAGAAAAGGTAAATTAAACAGCAGTCATATTATTAGGATTCTCAGGAGTGTCACATTTCTAAAAATATAGGTATCTCTTTCTTCTGTTTATAAAAAAACCTTTTTTTGGGCTGGCAAGTGGCCTTATCTGAATATTAGAGTTACCACTGACATTTCACATCCTGGAGAGAATACAATAATGTGGCTAAGGGTGTGGACTGAGGTTTTGAGATTGCCAGGATATGACTCCCCTGAATTTATTAAGATGTATGACTTGAGGTAAGATATTTAACCTGCCTGGGCCCTAGAATCCCCATCTGTAATGTATAGATAATATCATCTACCTCAGCTGGGTGCAGTGGCACACACCTGTAATCCCAGCACTCAGGGAGGCCAAGGCAGTGGATCTCTGAGAGTTCGAGGCCAGCCTGGTCTACAAAGCAAGTCCAGGACAGCAAAGGCTACACAGAGAAACTCTGTCTTGAAAAATAAAAATAATAATAATGATAATAATAAAACTACCTCATGAACTTCTTAGAATAACAAATGGTATGTATGGTATCTACTATGTGTTCATTACGTTTTTTTAAAACTTCATTTTGTCATAAGGTCTCAAGAAGCCCAGGCTGGCCTCAAATTCACTGTGTAGCTGAGGATGACCTTGGACTTCTGGTCCTCCTGCCTCTGTCTTATGAGTGCTGCTATTGTGGGTAGCAGTCTGTGTGGTATTGAGTGGGACTTGAATCCAGTCCCTCATACACACTAGGCAAACACTACCAACTGAGCTATATTCCCCTCAACTGACTTCTTCCTCCTCTTTTTTTTATGAGGCAGAGTCTCTTGCCATAGCCCTTGGCTGTCCAGGAACTCACTATGTAGAACAAGCTGGCCCAGAACTCAAAGAGATATGCCTGCCTCTGCCTCCCAAATGCTGAGATTAAAAGTGTGTGCCACCACACCTGGCTTCTCTCTTGATTTTTTTATTTTGGGGTTTGGAATAGTTGTTTTTTATTTTGTTTTTGTTTCTGGTTTTTGTTTGTTTGTCTGTCTGGGTTTTGTGTGTGTGTGTGCCAAGATTTCATTTAACTCCAGACTAGCCTCATACTCCCTATGTAGCCAAGGATGGCCTTAGACGTGTGGTGTGTGTGTGTGTGTGTGTGCATGTGTGTGTACATGTATGTGGGGAGGGAATGCACTTGCCCATTTGCTCATGTGGAGACCAAAGGTCTACCTCAGGTATCTTTCTCTATTGATTTCCACCTTAGTCCTCTGAGACACAGTCTCTCACTAAACTTGGAGCAAGCCATTTCATCTGGATTGGCTGGCCAGTGAGCCCCAGAGATTCTTGTCTCTGCCTGCTCCTCCACATGGGGTTTTTCAGATGTGCACCATGCCCAGGGACTTGAACCACTGACCCTCATATTTGTCCCCCAAATTAAAACAAAACAACAAAACCTAACAAGAATAGACCAATGCTCTAGCAGAGAAGACAGTGAGATTCAGCTCCCTGACCTGTAGCCATGACACCCAGAGAACACTTCTTCCATTCACATTGTCAATGTCTGCACCCCACACTGTTCTCTAGGCTTTCTCACATTTCTTTCAGCAACCATCTGCTATACTTTTCCATTCGAGGTTTCTTGATGAGTCACTTCCTGTATTTTCACCCTGATGTCTATCAAATATTGTGTGTTGATCTATTCGATAGGCAAGCTTTGTTTTATAAAGCACTTCTTAATAAAAATTTAAGCTCCAAAATATGCTAAAAAAAAAAAAAGTCCCTTCATACAAAGGAAAAGAGAAGGTTCTGGGATTGAGCTGTGCTCCCGTGAGGGTCTGATTCTGGTCAAATGAGCCTGGTTCACATCGTTGGTCAGCCATGTGAACAACATATGGTAGTGGGTGTGCAGTGGAGGGAGACTGGACGAAACAGAGCCTCTAGGGAAAGAAACGGAGGCTACAAACAAGAAAAGTGAGAGCGAGAAAACAAGATAGACAAACCTTTTTTTTAAAGATGGTTAAAAAGAGAAGAAAAAAAACATAAATAAAGAGAGCCTTCTGTGCCGTTTTCCAAGAACACGCTAATAAAAGATGAAAAACATGATGACGTCCAAACCACTTAACTAAAGAAACCTTATAAATAGGTATAGATACAAATAACACAAGTCTACACGTGCTAAAGGATCAGGCAAGTGTCTAAAAAAAGAGGGTGTTCTGACAGAGGTGAGGGTTAAGAAAGTCAAAGACAGCAACCATTTGAGGGAAAGGTATTTGGTAGAAAAGAAGGACAGGGCTGGGTTTTAAGGATGGCGAGAGCCATCACATTGCCCACAAGGATCCTACACATTCAGAAAACAAAGAAACGAAGGAAGGGCTGACAGAGCCTTGTTCCTCCCTGCAATTAATTTCTAGGTCTTCCTAGAAAGCTCGACTGGGGCAAGAGGCTCATGGGTTGGCTTGAGTCACCAGATGCCAGTGAAGGCTTTCTGAATTCTGACTGGAACCCAGGATCTATCAGCCTGAGAACAGAGTCACAACATTAGCTTCGTTTCACAGCCTGCTCTCTCAGCTGCCAAACCCCCTCAGTCTCCTCCAGACTCCTATCCTTTCCCAGCCCCAGGCTCTTAAATGTCACTAACAGCTGAGTGAGAGAAACTCTCACTGTTTAGCCCTAAGCAAGAATCAGACTCCAGCACCAGCTCTCTGCATGTTTGTCATGCTTCAATTCTGGCTCTACAGCTCCTCAGGAAGAAGGACAGAAAGAGAGCAAGGGTCAAATGAGCCTGCATGGTTCTTAAAGAGCATTCTCTGAAAAAGGTTTCTTGCCTTTTGTCAGTTAAAAGACCTGATACAGCGGTTTTCTTTTTCTTTTTTTTTTCTAGACGCACAATATTTTCAAATGTTAAGTACAAGTACAATGCAGTTTAGCACATCCTGACTAAAGCAAGGATGAAGGCCACTGCTCTGCCTTGCCTGGTCTCCTCCAAGGAGACGCTTGCAATAAACTCCTCAGGTACGTCAGTGGACAGGGCTCTGTTTGGAGCGGTTGAAGTGGCCGACCAACATTGCAAACTTCTCTCTTGGGAAAACAAGTGGCGTCTTCACTGTGCAAGCACCTGAACCTTAGGACCATGGCTCCCTAATCACGCTGGGCCCCGTGAAGGAAAGCCCCAGTCCCCTGGCCATCTCAGATCTCACCTGCTTTGGCAAAGTCTTCCCGGTTGTAACTGAAATCCTTGAGGAAGGTGATGCTCTCACTCCCAGGGTTGTACCTCCGTGATGTCTCCAGAAGCATCACCTGCACATAAGCAGCAGCTTTCAGACGGGGGCGACGGGGCTGGTCTTGGTATGCAGCCCTCGAAAGGAGGTTGATCCCCTTTCCCAGTGGCTTGGACTTCCCAAGCTGGGTATCTGGAGGTCCCCTATGGATAATCCTCCTACGCTTCTCCCTTCATCCCATTCCCTTTCCAGCCACCTCGATCGCAGAGGTCTTCAGCAAGGCAATCTGGTCCTCCCTGCTAAGCTGCAGGAATCCAGGGAGCTGCTTGGCAAAGTCCACAATCTCCTGCACGGACACGATGGCCAGCTCGGTGAAGTGAGCAAAGCGCTGCTGACGGGCTTCCCGGCTCTGAGGGTCAGGTGTAACGGGCCATGGCTACCCAGGGTGGGCAAGGAAGGAAAAGGCAAATTGCTATTGGTCAAGAAGTTAGCTGGTGCTTCAGGCACAGACACCTCTCCCCAGGTCAGCAAGTACCGTGACTCGAAGCCGGTCAGAAAAGGAGCGCCTGTTACACTGTTGCTGGGCAGCCACCAGCTTCTCAATCATGCCCAGCTGCTCCGGGCTGAGCTGTGGCAGGGCTGGGGGAGGTGAGGAAACCCTTGGGGACGCTGATGCGGCTTGAGCCTGTTCTTCTTCTTGCCGCTTCAGTTTCTTCAAACGGATCTGTTCTTCCGACAAGACACCTAAAAGATGGAACCAGATGTGAGTTGGGAATTGGGGTAAGGGTAAACAAGAAGCAGAGATAGGGTAGAGGGGTGGTTTGATGCCCCAGAACCAAAATGTGTGTCATAGCAAGAACAGTGTTTGTTTGTTTTTCCAAGACAGGGTCTCACTACGTAGCTCCTGGCTGTCCTGGAATTCACTCTGTCGACCAGGCTGGCCCTGAACTCAACAGATATCCCCCTCTGCACCTGAATGCTGAGACTCAAAGCGTGTGCCACTATGCCCGGATGAGGAAGTTTTAATCCACACTCAGGAGATCCCTGTAGGGGTGAGCCTCTGTCCGCCTTCATTCACAATAGGGCACCAGTATTTTCCCATCAGCTCTTCCCAATTCCTGTCCGGGACACTTACACTCCTCCCGCATGCCCGCCTGGCGGCATTTGCGAAGCCGACACTCCTGGCATTTCCGCCGCATGTAGGTGTCCATGGGGCAGTGGCCACCGCTGTGGCAAACATAGCGTGCTCCCTTGATGACACTGCGGCGGAAGAATCCCTTGCAGCCCTCGCAGCTCAGCACGTTGTAATGGAAGCCAGAGGCCTTGTCCCCACATACACTGCACAGCTCATTCCCCAGCATTTTAGGGGCTGGCCCCTTTTTCCGTTTTTGTGGACGAAGCTCTGGGTAGAGACACAAGGCTTAATGTCCTCCCTTCCTTGATCACTCCTGGCTAGGCACTCTTCATTCCCTTCCTTTCACTGAATGAAATTCTCTGTCATTCATATTCATTCTCTCTACTCTCTCTCTCTCTCTCTCTCTCTGATTCACAATATGTAGCCTTTGAACTCCTGGGCTCAAGTGCTCTTGCCTCAGCCTCCAGAGTAGCTGGAATTACCAGAACATGCCATAGTGCCTGGCTTAATCTATTATAACAATTGCTGTCTTTTACCAAGGACTATTATGTCCTAAGTACTATATGAGCTTTTTATAAGCATCGATCCTTAAGATAAGATAAGGGTTAATTCTAATTAACAAGCAAGGAAATTGAGGCTCAGAAACACCCAAAATACAGACAAAGTTCACTCCAAAGTCACTGGCCCAAAGCAGTTGGACTTAGCTGTGACATTAAAAGGCCATCCCAGATCTAGAAAGCCCCATCCTCTCCAAATCCAGGTGGTTCTTACCTGTAGGGTCTAGAAAGGTCCCTGCCCTGGGGAGGAGGGCTGTGGGCTGTGCTGCCTCCAAGTCCATCCTTATAGCATCACCAGCTGATTGGGGCATCCTGGCCTCCTCCCTGAGGATGCAGCTGTCGCCTCCCTGGTTTCTTGCATCTTGGGTTTCTGCCTTCCACAACTCTGTGGCAGAGTCTGAACCCAAAAGAAGCACAGGGGAGTAGGTGTGGGTTCAAGTCCTGTTCAGACTCCAGCTCCGAGTGTCTTGGCTGGGAAACTATAAGCTTAACTCCAACACGAGAGGACAGTCAAGATAGCCAGGCATGGTGGTGCTGTGCGCTTTTAATCCCAGGACTTGGGAGGCAGAGGCAGGCAGATCTCTGAGTCTGAGGTCCGCTTGGTCTACAGAGTGAGTTTTAGGATAGCCAGGGCTACACAGAGAGACCCTGTCCTGAAGAAAACAAAAGAAACAAACCAGAAAAGAAGGCAGCCAAGCCGATTATGCTTTCAGATCCCGGGTTTCGTAGATTCCAGACTGTGGGATCTAGGACTAGCGAGCTGTCGTCCTTTCCATATTGAGGGTCTCTCTGTGTAGGCCTGGCCATCCTGGAACTCACTCTGTGAACAAGGCAAGCTTGCCTCTGCCTCCGGAGTGCTGGAATTAAAGGGATGTGCCACCACCGCCCAGCTAGCGCATCAAGATCTTAAAAGAAGGTGCTAGCTACCCTTTGTCCCCTTGGGGATGATGGAGGGTGTCCGTCTTCTAGCTCAGACAGAACTCTCGGAGCTGGAGCTGTCAAAGCACGAGACATGTCAGCTCTCCCCAGAAGCATACCTTGACTGAGGACTTCATGGGGCTTACGCTGATCAAGCACAGGGCAAAAGGTTTGAGCATAAGACAAGCAAGACTTCTGCTTCTGAGGAGTGCCGGATGCAGGTAGCGAAGGAGGCTGATTTTTGAGATAGGAGAAGAGCCAGACTCCTGGTCTCAAGGAAGAAGGTTTGAATAAAAAAGCTTACCAGGAGAAATATCAGGCGCTGGGGCCTCCAGCCACAGGGACATCTCTTCCTGGAGCCCTGGACATTACCAAGACACTGTCCTGTGGGGATGAGCCAGGTTACTGTCTTCCAGAACTAGGTCTCAGCTCCCTCCTGTGCTGCCTTTTATCTGTCCTCACATCATCAGCTGACAGTTGCTTCTCGTGGATTAGCCTGCGAAGCCTTCTTTGTTATATCCCTATGAAGTCAGGACTTTTATATTTAAAAAAAATTTTTTTAAGTTCTGGAGATTGAACCCAGGACTTCATACAGGCTAGGCAAATGGCCTGCCATTCAACTATACACTTCCAGCCTGTCAGGACTATTCTTAAGTCCATTTTAAAGATAAGGACACGGCCTATAGCCACACAGATGGAGGTGGTAGAGCCAATAATAGAATGCTGGCTTGTGTGAGTTAGTCGTCTCTGCACCCACCTCCAGGCTCTGGGGAGGGTCCTTCCCTCTGCTCTGACAGTAGGGCAAGGCAAAGTTGGCAGGACCACAAGACTGGACCCAAGCTCACTCTATGAATATGCTTGTTAGAATCTTTCCCCTGCCATTTCTGAAGTCCCAGCACAAAATGTTCTTGTCCCAAGACTCTCACCAGCGCAGAGCCTCCTCTCCCAGAACCCCTCCAGTTCTTCTGAGACATAGTAAAACTCTCTCCTTGCCCCAGCTCCTGTTAGCATAATTCCTCACCTCCTCCCCAGAGATCCTTCCCTAGAACATCCTCCCAACCCATCCCTCCCCACCCTAGATGCGAGGACAGAGCCACCAGCCACATCGGGCAGCAGACCCGAGGAATCCCCAGGCCACCAGACCTCCTAGCCCCGTAGTCTCTGGAGCCCCCTTGCTGGGAGAAGAGGGTGTTGCAGTACCCGGCCCTCGAGGCGGGCGGCCAGTGGGTAGAGCTGAGCACACCGGGGCCAGCAGAGAGAAGCAGTAATGTAGGAAAAGGCTGAGGGGAGGGACTGCCAGGGGTCCTTCCTACAGGCGACCCAGAGCCCTTGGCTTCCTTAGGCCCCCGCCCACGAGGTAGCTTCCCCGACAGGCTAACTCCTCCCCAGCAGGCCACCCCCTTAGCCGGCGCCACCCTGTCCCCTACCCTCTACCAAGATTGTCGTGTTTCCCCACAGACCGGCCCAGTTCCATCTCTCTCCTTCCTCTCCTCACCCTGGAGGCTCTTTGCTTTTACAGGACTGCTTCTCAGGCACCCCCACCCTAATCCCAGCAGCCTCCAGAGTCAGCGTTCCCCCCCCCCTCCCCCCATAGACACCTCGCAGAGCAAAGGTCCCGGCACGGCCCGGAATTGCGACACCACGCCCCAGCCTGTGTTCCCAGCCTCCCTCCTCCTCTGCCTCTGGGAAGGCGCCAAGCTCTCCCCACTAGCCCCAGGCCTGAGCCAAGAGGGTAGAACTCCAAGGGTGAAGGCAGGCAGGTGCCGGGCCTTTCAGTGAGTTTGTGTGTGGGTGCCCTGAGGGGGACAGAGAAAGGAAGAGGCCAGGAAAAGGAGGCCTGGAAGAGGAGTGAGAGAGAAACAGATGCTAGCGACAGAAGCCCAGCCCCTACCCTTCCCCCGCCCCGCCTAGTATAGATAAGCAGGTCACCTCATCTAGGAACAGCCCCATCTGAGGTGGTGTCAAGATCTACTGAATCTAAAGCCATAGCTTCCCTGCTTTGCTGCCTCGGACAAAAGAGTCAGCCCTGAAGGAACACATCGTGTCTCATTGATTTAATCACCCAAAGGGATCAGCAGCTGGCTTAGAGAGGAAACAGCAGAGACTATGTTCTCATTCTTGAATGATAAGTAAACAAACAAAAAATGCCCCTCTTCTATTCCATACTTGTTAGCTTGAGTTAATGTCAACCTAGCATAATCATTTCTCATTTGGGTTCTGGATTCAAACCTCCATGCTAGCACTACAACCTAGGGTATCATCTTTGCTGCGGAAGCACTTCTTGCCTGAACTTTGCCCCCATCCAACTGTGTGATCTTAATTGAGCAGGTTGATGTCTCTGAACCTCTCTTTAAAATGGGGATGATGATGATGATAACAGTTTTGCCACATAAGATCAATGTGAGAATAAAAGTCAGCACAATAGGATGGTCAGGGGTTATCATTCCCTAATTCCTTTAGTGGTTTGTCTTCCCATGACCTTGAACATTGTCAACCCTTTGAATCTTTGTTTCCATATACAAACCCCTCACTATCTCTAGTTCCTGAGAGCAGCTCCAAGCAGGAGGCAGAAAAGGTTACACAGTATGCTGATGCTTGCTTGAGAACTTGCCCAAGACCACACAGTTAGTGGCCAAGCTGAGCTCAGAATCCAGATGTCCTTTCTCCGGGTGCTCTGAGCTTTTCCTCTTCCTGTGTTCGAGTCCAGAGCATCCTCACGTCTGAAGGAAAAGCTCTGAGATGGAAGAAGCTAGGGTTGATGTCAGCAAGGCTGGTGGCTGCAGAGGTCTGCAGATGCCTCAATTTAGACATGAGAAGCAGGAGTTGAGGTTACTGCTGGCCATTCACCCCCTGCCCCATTCCCAGTTTCCTGCTCACAGGCCCTTCCTGTTTTGCTCTGAACTCCAATTCCCATGGGTCCACATTAAAGCATAGGACAGGGGCCAGACAAGCAAGCAGCCAGAGGGACCAAAAAACAGAGATGAACAGGACACAAGGGAAGAAAACTGAGGAAACGAGGGGAAAAAAGAGTGAACTTGGTTGTGGGGGCGGGTCAGAAGGAACAGGATGGGGGAAGGACGAGAAAACTGAAGTAGAAAAGGGGCTTGGTGAAAGATGAGAGGAAGCACAGGGCGAGCCAAAGGACCAGGCAGAGACTGGGAACACGTGTGAGGAGGCGGCAGGCTGCGGGGGTGTTGCAAAATCTGCCCATGTGTTCACTTTTCACATTCAGAAAAAGCCCCTCTGACAGCCCCCATCTTCAGCTTCTGCCTCTGGCTTTTGCTCTTGTTCCTTTTCATCACAAGGTCAACCCCTCCCAAGGGTTCCGCCCTGGTCTGGACACTTATGAATCACGAGCACAAGGCTCTCCATTCTTCTCATGTGTTCCTTCCCCAATTTTCACAAGAACCTGCCACCCTGGGAAAGCAGAAACCAAGGACAGCAGCCACAGAGACTGGGAGGGCACGGTCTGAGCACCCATCAAGTATCTAGCTCTCTCTCCCCCTGCCCAAGTCCCAGCACAGTGGTACACTCAGAGATGTTCCTGCTATACCTCATTTCAAGGAACCTGCCATGTTGGCCTGTAGCCCACTGACATTATCTTCTACAGATTAAAAAAAAAAAAAGTCTCCCTCAAACATTCCTGATCCTACTCCTCTCCTAACTCCCTAATCTCTTTACAAAGGGCTTCTCAGGGGCACATACACACACATACGCAAGCCCAAACTGGAGCCCACTGACCCCGACTAGGTCCTGGGTCCTCCTCCAAGCCAGGAAGGCAGGGCAGCCCAGCTTCCCTAGGAGAGGCAGCGTTGTCAGCACTGCACCACCACAGGTTACAGCTGGTGGAGAAGCTTGCCACAAAGAGAAGGGAGAGGGAAAGTGGGGAAAGGCTAAAACCTGTTGATGGTATCTCCACAGACTTTCTGGTGACTGCCCACTGGTACTTCCGCCCCAAGCCCGAAGGTGATCAGCAGTGAGGAGCACAGGCCGGGCCTCACCAGCCTCACCCTCATGGCACGCTTCCAGCAGCCCACAGGAAGTGTTAAGGCCAAGGCGTCTCAGTCCTATGGGCCTTTCCAATATTTTCTTGATTCTTACAGGAAGCAACATCCCTAGGAAACATCCTTGGGGAATCTTACTAGTCCCATCTCTGAATCCTCCACCCCAAACTTCCAGTGGTCACTTCCAGGCTTAGAAATAGCATTCACTAGCCCCTGGTCAAATGCATCACTAAATAACTTTCCCCAACAGGTAATCCTTCCCATTAAGCAGGCCATTAAGTAAGGTTTGCAGAAAAGGGCTAGGATAGTTACTGTTTCTGGATTCTTCTTTCAGTGCACTATATGAGTAGAGAGTGAGAAAAATAATATCTCAGAGCCCTGGAAACCTACTCAAGTGACTTCTGAGCAGTCTTCTAATCACAAGATAAAGAAGAATCTAGAACTCCTGTTTAGACCTAAACCTGTATGTTCATGTTCTAAACAGACATGACACAGAAGGCAGGATACAAAGAAGAAAAGTAATATTTATTTAGGCTTTTCTGCATAACTTACTCTACATGTCTTGTCATTTCATGTATTCTCACAATAAATCTGAGGAGAGGTTACTGACAACGTGCAAATATCAAAACTGATCACAGACAGAAACTGATTCAAACGCTCATGCTCCCAACTGGAGAATGTTCAGCAGTTAAAAGCTCTTGCTGCCCCTAGTTCAGTTCCCTGTACCATGTTGAGTGGCTCACAACCACTTGTATAACTCCAGCTCCAGAGAGCTGATGCCCTCTGCTGCACCTGCGCTCATGTGCATACCACATACAAACACATAAGTGAATAAGCTCATGCGCAAATTCAAACTAAAATAAGTGTACTTTACCCATTATACAAAACTACCTCCAAAAATGAGAAAAAAATGGTTCATTCACCTGGATTTAGGTTTGCTAAATTTAGGGTAAGCAGGTCGTTCTCAAACCTCAACTCTCTTTCAGAAACTGACTTACCTAGTCTGGAACAGTCCCATGAATGCATCTGTCTGTCTGTCTATCTATCTATCTATCCAAGTACATGATGTTGTTTTTTTTTTTTTTTTTCCAACTGTAAGGTATCAAGGGGAGGAAGAACTTGAAATCACCTGTAGAAAATAACTGCAAAAGCTGAAGCATTATAAAACTGAAGCTTTGCTCTGGGCCTTACCATCTATGTATAGTGCCCTCATTATCCTGGAATCATTTCTCACTATAAAGATTGAAATAACATCTGCTTCACCAGTTCTTCCTACACAGATCTTACAGACATGAAGAGTGTAGACATACTTGAGCAAGTGGGAAGAAAAACAAAGCATGAGGGAGTTTTGTTCTATATGGTGAGCTGAAGATTTACATTTTCAAAGCACAATGGCCTAGATAATTTTGCAGAGAAAAAGTTATATTAAAATTTTTTGTTTGTTTTTTAAGACAAGGTCTCCTGTAGTCTAGGGTGGCCTTGAACTTACTATGTAACTAGAGCTGTCCCTGAACTCCTGATCTTCCTGCCTCAATCTTGCCATATACTGGGGATAACTAAATAAAATAATCTTAAAAGTTGCTGGGTGGTAGTGGTGGCAAGTGTCTTTAATCCCAGCCCTGGGGGAGGAGGCAGAGGCAAGTGAATCTCCGAGTTTGAGGCCAGCCTGGTCTACAGAGCTAGTTCTAGGACAGCCAAGGCTACACAAAGAAACCCTGTCTCAAAAAACAAAACAAACAAAAAACAAAGCTACAATATGTATGGGGGTGGAGCATGCCTATAACACCAGCACTTAAGAAGCAGTGGCAGGAGGATTTTAAGTCGAAAGCCTGTCTAACCTACAAAGTGAGATCTTGTTTCAAAACAAACAAAAACCTCCCACTAATATGCACTTGTCTGTCATGTTCCATTTGCTGCCATGTATGTGAAAGGTTTCCTTTGATAAAATCTCAAGGTACCTTGGGGCTACCATATACAGCTTAACAATGCAGTTTAAACAGCCTACATTAAACTGTCTATTATAGTGCTGTCTTTGGCAGCACATAAACTAAAACTAGAGCAATAGAGAGCTTCTCCTAGTCCCTGCACAAATATGACAAGAAAATTTGTGAAGCATTCTACATTTATTTTGAGACAGGGTTTCTCTGTGTAGCCTTGGGTGTCCTAAAATTCACTATGCTAGGCTAACCTTAAACTCAGAAATTCACGTGCCTCTGCCTCCTGAGTTGTGGAATTAAAGGCGTGCACCAGTACTGCCAGGTGCATTTTATACTTTAAAAGGGGTGTGCAGGGGCTGTTGAGATGGCTCAGCAGATAACGGCACATGCTATCAAGCCTGACTACCTGAGTTCAATCTTTGGAAACCACATTGTAGAGAGCATGGACTTCTGAGAGTTGTTGTCTGACTTCTAAACATACCACACACACACACACACACACACACACACACACACACACACCAAATTATATATTAAAAAAAAAATCAGGAAACGTCAATTTCAAACTAGGTGTGGCAGCATATGCTGTGTACATTTAGGAGGTGAGGCAGCAATAAGTTCAAAGCTAGCCTAGACTTTGACCATACCACAATCCTAGTCCTATTTGAAAGAAGGGAGAGAGGGAAAATAAAATTGCTGAGCTGGATAGTGCACCCTTGTAATCCCAGTGCTTAGCAGGTGGTAATAGGAGGATCAGAATTGTGAGACCAGTCTGCAAAACATAAGACCCTGTCTCAAAAGACAAAGAACAACAACAACAAAAAGCAAGTGTAGATTTCAATCCATTCTTTAAACTATGTAAGCTTTGGCAAATCATTTCTCTTTGGGTTGGTTTTCTAATCTTATAAATCTATGGAAGGTCTTTGGCAATCACTTGAGATTATATGCAAAACTGTATTTTGTGTTCATGTGCGGACACTTTTTTTCTAGCAAGAGAGCTAATTTTTCATGTGGTTTATAGGGAACCTGTTAAGAAGTTAAGAACTAGCCAAAGGGAAAAACGAGAAAGAGGAAGAAAGTTAAGAACTGTGGCTGGAGACACGGTTTAGCAGCTAAGTGCACTGGCTACTCTTTCAGAGGACTCAGGTTCTACTCCCAGCACCCATGTGGCTGTTCACAGTCTATAGGGGATCCTAGGCCTTCTTCTGCCTCCGAGGGCACTGTACACACGGTTCGCAGATATATATGCTGGCAAAACACCTGTTGGCAGAAAACAGTTTTCTTTGTTGTTACTGTTGTTTTGTTTTTTTTTTCAAGACAGGGTTTCTCTGTGTAGCTCTGGCTGTCCTGGAACTCACTTGGTAGAGCAGATTGGCCTTGAACTCAGAAATCCACCTGCCTCTGCCTCACAAGTACTGGGATTAAAGGCATACACCACCACTGCCAGGCTTGCTTGTTTTAAGTTAAAAAGTATTTTGTTTTCAAGCCTTGTTCTGCTCACTCTTAAGCCTTTGTCAAGGTGACTTTGGAAGTAATGTTTAGACAGTCAGGTACACAATTTTATCTTGAGTCCTAGGACAGTAACAGTTCTGATCAGATTTATTTGTAGATAATCTGAGGTGGGTTTGCTTATAGTAGGAAGATCTGCATCAGAGCATACCAAGGGCCCAAGATCTGACCTGCAACTATGTTATTCTAAGGTTTGGAGTCAAAATCCGGAGGCCAGACTGGGCCACCTGTCCCTAAATCCTAAAGGGCTAAAGTCTGGAGAAACTCTGATTCTGCAGAAATGCTATAGTTACACGCATGCATCAAAATACAGGCCCAGTTGTCTGAAATTCCTCCCATGGGAATTCAATGCAGTGGGTTTGGGAAATCTGAACATCCTATACAATCCAACTCCTCTGAAAGGAAGCATAACTTTTCGAGTCTAATTTAATTTAGAAACCAACAAACATAGGGAAAGGGCTGAAACTGGGGAGAGGGCTTCAGGGAGCAAAAAGGTTTGTTCAGGACATGAATGGAGAACCAGACTGGATCAACCTCAAGGACGCAGGGAGACCAAAGGGCTGTTCACATGCAGTGCCCTACATCTCAAACAAGACTACGTAGTGGGCAGTGCCACAGTAAAGGCTCAAGCTAAACTACACACAGCAGACAGGCGTAGAAAGCGAGGGCCTGTATTTCCCCACACCTCGCTCCAGCTGAGGTTCTAGGATCATGCTAAGAAGCACTTCTTACAGGAGGCGTTCGCTCTTCGGGCCAAGACTCCGGCCCATGGCAAGTACCAGCCTGGTAGAAGAAAAGGCAAGCCTGATCTAGCGCTTCTACCAAAACGAGGTCTTTAAGCCTTTTCTGGCCGAAAGATTGAGCTACATTATCACACTCGTTCATTACCGCCGATCGTAAACCTTCTCTGTGAGCATTCCCTCCCAAATTCCGCCTTCTCCCACCAGACTTCCCCAATTCACCCCCCAATAGAAAGATGGCGCAGGCGGCACTTCCGGTAAGTGTCCTTTCAAATGCATCCGGGCGGCTGCAGCAGGTACCGCCCAAGGCGTTCCGGTTTTTTTTTTTTGCTGCACAACCTACAGCGGCAATGGCGGGCAGACGGTCCGGTTGGAGCCAGGCAGCTCTTCTCCAGTTCTTTCTTGGCATGTGTCTAACAGTGATGCCACCCACACAGGCCCGGAGTCTGCGCTTTGTTACCTTGGTAATGGGTGACGGAGTCACCAACGGGTTCACCAAAGCTGAAAGGGCAAAGGCCGGCTGATAGAGGGAGGGGCAGAGCTTCTGCTCTGGGGTCGCAGTTCTCACTTCTCAAGGAGGAGAAAGAACCTGGTTTGGGAAGCAGCTGGCCCGTGGTGGGTTGCGAGGTTGGAACCCTAGGCTATTTTGCAGGACAGGGCGACCGAGTAATGATAGGCGATATTCTTCCCTGGGATGATTCTTCCCTAGAATGGGAATTTAGTTAAAAGGTTGAGAGTCCCAGAATCCACCCATAAAGACGACTTTGATGATCTTTGTTTTCCCAGTCATTGCCTGCTCCCTTCCCCAGAAGGCATTGCTTTCACTAGTTTTTTTGGCGTTGCCTATTATCTCGGGTTCCATTGCATAGCCAAATTAGGGACCCCTGAACTGGAGTCTGTTTTTCTTTGCTTAGTGGAAAGAGGGAATGAGATTTCCTTTTCTGACATGAGCAGAGGTGGGCCCTGACCTTAACTAGAAGACCCTTGATTTGTAGACCAACCATTTTCTTTGCTCAGCTTTATCGACATGGAGATCGATCACCAGTGAAGACCTATCCCAAGGACCCCTATCAGGAAGAGAAGTGGCCCCAGGGGTTTGGTCAGCTAACCAAGGTGGGTCAGAAACTAACCTGCAAGGCCTCGGGATATGCTATAGAATGAGTCATGCCTGGAGCACAGAAACTGGAGCTCTGTACAATGCCAGTTTTCCACTTGGGTTCCGATGGATCAGGTGTCTATTTTGTTGTTTTGTCTTTGTGGTTTTGGAAACCAAACTCAGGACACTGGGCTTCATTTCCGGCTGTGACCAGATTTCTTAACAATACCCTGTGCCCAGCACAGAGTCATTCACAACTGGCCACTTAACTGCTGGAATCAAACTCACTCCTTGCCAGGGGAAGAATGCCTAAATGCCACAGGGCCTGTGGGCCAGTCCCTTCCCCTTGGACTCTCTTAACCCTCAGGTTTGCCCACAGGAGGGGATGCTACAGCACTGGGAGCTGGGCCAGGCCCTGCGGCAGCGCTACCATGGCTTTCTGAACACCTCTTATCACCGGCAAGAGGTAAGGTTGGGAGCTTGGTTGGCAAAAGGAATGGGATTTTTGGATTATCTTCTGACCTCAGAGAATCTAAGGGTGAGGCTGGGCACTCTAACTTTCCCCCTGATTTTTTTGGTCCCTGGACAAAAAAGGCTAGAATACTGCTCTGGAGTCTGAATTGTTTCTGCTTATCTAGGAAGAGACAAAACTGGCCACGGGTCCAACTCAGACATAAGGAAAGGTCTGGTAAAGTGCTTTCTGACTCTGAAACAACAAACAGGCTTTCTGTCTAAGGCATTGTCACTAAAGGCCAAGCACTGCACTAGTGCTTTTCATATGACAGTATACCATAGAGTTATGATCTCTGTCTTCATAGAGCTTACAGTGGAACAGTCTAATAAGCTGGACAGAGCCAGGATAAGGAGGACAATGAAAACTGGCAAGTGTGCTGGCTCCTGAGGTCCTCTGCTTACCCCAGTGATAGGTAGCTGTTCTGTAGTCTCTCTTTCAGCCACAGCTGCCTCAGTTCTCTACATATTACTGTTTCCTAGAGACCTAGTTCTACCCTGAACTTGCCCCTCCCTTCCTTATTTTCTTCCTGCCTTTTCACAAGCCACCTCCCTCTGTTCCTTTTTTCCCCCTCCTCCCTGGTCTTTAAGTGCATTTATAAAGAGGAAGGGAGTGTGGTGAGGAGTGGCATCCACCATTGGGACTCTAGGGTATTATGTACTGAGTTTATTTTTTAGACAGGATCTCACTATGTGACCCTGGCTAGTCTTAAATTCAGAGATCCTTCTGCCTCTGTCTCTCAAATTCTGGGATTAAGAGTGTGTACCAAGCTGGTGGTGGTACTTTGATCCCAGCACTCAGTAGGCAGAGGCAGGCAGATATCTTGAGTTCGAATCCTACACAATGTCCCAGGAGAGCCAGGGCTGCACAGAGAAACCCTGTCTCAAAAAGCAAATAAAGTATGTACCAAGCTGGAATCAGAGGCACATACCTTTAGTCCCTGCACTTGAGAGGTAAAGGCAAGTGGGTAACTATGAATTTGAGGCCAGCCTGGTCTACATAGTGAGTTTCAGGACAGCCAGAGCTAAATAGGGAGATCCTGTCTCTATGTGTGGAGGCGGATGTACCAGTATGCCTGACAGGGACTCTGGTCTTCATGGGAGACAAACCAGTTATTAAAGTCTTCCAGACCAGATAGCTTACCAAATGAGTGTTTTTGGTGAACAGGAAGGAGTATTTGAGCTAGTTATTCCCAAAGATGAGTTCTTTATATGGTGGTGATAGCCCATAGCTGTATGTTTGAGGACGTGAGGAATAGGGAAAAACCAGAGGGTGTGTATGCATGGTAAAACTATAATGTGCTGAGTAACCATCCAGAACATGTTCTCCCCTGGGGCTCTAGTGAGGAGCCAGAGTACTTCTATACATAGAGATTTGTGTTGCCAATCTATAGGTTTATGTGCGAAGCACAGACTTTGACCGTACTCTCATGAGTGCTGAGGCCAACCTGGCTGGACTCTTCCCTCCCAATGAAGTTCAGCACTTCAACCCTAACATTTCATGGCAGCCTATCCCTGTCCACACTGTGCCCATCACTGAAGACAGGGTAAGACTGGCCAGCCCTTCTTAAGAAGTGATGTGGGGACAACTATAGTTATCAGCCTACTGATCCCAGACTCCTCTGCCTGTTTCCCTTTAATTTGCAGTTGCTGAAGTTTCCATTGGGCCCATGTCCCCGTTATGAGCAGCTGCAGAATGAGACCCGGCAGACACCAGAATATCAGAACAAGAGTATTCAGAATGCAGTGAGTTGGGGCCGAAGTGTAGGCATAAGACTGTTCATTCCCCAGAACATGACTGATCTCCTGATCCATTTTTCCTAGCACTTTCTGGACATGGTCGCCAATGAGACAGGGCTTATGAATCTGACCCTGGAGACCATCTGGAACGTGTACGACACTCTCTTTTGTGAGGTGAGCTGACCTGGGTACCTGTTGGGATTCTTGTCTCCTCAGTAGGTCCAGGTCTCTAGGGAAGTAGAGCGCATTGCCTGGATACTGCCATCCCCACTGGGAAGGCCCAGCAAGCCAGTGCTTATGTAACCCGGGAACTTCCCTCATGGGTAAAAAGAACCTCAAAGTGGGAAATGGTTTACAACTTGTCAGCACTCTGTACCCTTCTCCATCCTGAGCTCAGTGCTGTGAGATTTCTTTCTGCTGAGTCAGCTCTTCATGCTTGAGTTTCTTTCCCAATGTCCCACTGCCTGCCATGTCTGCAATGGCCACTCTGCCTCACCTCTGCTCTCCTCTTCCTCCCTCATACACACAGGCACCTTCCCCACCTGGGGAAGAAAGCCACCCTTGGAGAGGCTCTGGCCTAGGCCTAGGGAGCTAACCTGCCCGCTGCGATACACAGCAAACCCATGGGCTGCTTCTGCCGCCCTGGGCCTCACCCCAAACTGTGCAGCATCTGAGCCAGCTAAAGGACTTCAGCTTCCTCTTCCTCTTCGGGATCCACGAGCAAGTACAGAAGGCCCGGCTTCAGGGGGGTGAGTGACAAGAACAGCATGTCACTACCCTCTCCTCAAAACTCTCCAGCACTGAAAATATGCTGTGGGAACTTCTCACACACTATACTGCCCTAAGCTAATTCTCTGCTCTTTCAAAATCAGATCTCCCCTTTGCCATCCCTGCTACTCACCCAAATCTTGCAGTTCTCTGATATTTAGCCTGAGTCACAGGTCTCACTCTGTAGCTCTGGCCAACCCAGTTTGAACTCTCTATGTAGACCAGGCTGGCGTCGATCACAGAGATCCACTTACCTCTGCCTCCTGAGTGTTGGGGTTAAAGGTGTCTGCCACCACACCTAGCCAACCATTTTCACTCTTAGGTTTCACCCATGTCAGAAGACCCTCTCTTTCCTAACTGCATTTCTCCCTTCAGAAAACTGCTAAGGCCTTTGGAGAAAAGGGTAATACACGTGCCAGTTATTTCATCTGAGCATTCAAAGGTATCCATTCTCAAACCTTTGACAATGCAGTAGTTTTCAAAGACTGCATACAGCAGTTGCCCTGGCATGAACCACCATCTTGTGTGCTGTGAAACAGTCAAAAGCTTACACTATGTTCATACTAGTAAGTCAGTCATGACCAGGGTCTCCTAGCTGAAGTTTCCACTCCTTTGTTTAAATACTAATACCTTGCTTTATCTGTCTCCTCCGAAAAGTTGACAGTTCTTAGCAGTAGTGCTGTAGAGTTCCAGTATGGGACCCAGGAAATGGAAAAGTTCTCTGGGTTGTGATCCTCTGACAAGAGAAGCAGATCAGTGATGGGGTTCGAGACACTGATCCTTGGAATTTTTCTTCTTCAGGAGTTCTGCTGGCTCAGATCCTGAAGAACCTGACTCTAATGGCAACCACCTCTCAATTCCCTAAGCTTCTGGTTTACTCTGCGGTAAGCTTTAACTCTCCCACTCCCCATCCTCCCAACACACAAGGGTCAAACCAGGAATTGGCTAATTTTCCCTGATTTAGCTCCTGGGACGTGGAGGAGTAACCAGTCTAATAAGTAGCCCCTCTCCCTTACAGCATGACACTACCCTGGTTGCTCTGCAAATGGCACTGAATGTCTACAATGGGAAACAAGCTCCCTATGCTTCCTGCCACATATTTGAACTGTACCAGGAAGATAACGGGTAAGTGGAGCTTCCAGGTGTCCTCTAAAGGAGCACTTGGGATGATCGGGGACAACTCAGACACAGTTATGGGCACGGTGAGCATCCCTATTTGCTTCCTGTCAACTCTCAGGAATTTCTCAGTTGAGATGTACTTTCGGAATGACAGTAAGAAAGCACCCTGGCCTCTGGTCCTGCCTGGCTGCCCTCACCGGTGCCCACTACAGGACTTCCTTCGCCTCACAGAGCCTGTCATACCCAAGGACTGGCAGAAGGAGTGCCAGCTAGCAAGTGATACTGCAGACACAGGTGAGCTGCCACCTACTTCTGTGCTAATCATGTCCAGGTCAGGGTTAAAATCACACCCAGAAATCTTCAGGGAGCCAACAGTCCAGCCGTCTTCCTGGACAGCCTCTTCAACCCTAAGACCATATTTATATACTCTCCCCATTCTTCACTCTCGGGTGATACTCTTACCACTGAGAAAATAAGAGTCGCCAAAAGAGAGCTGTCGGTCTCCCAACACAGCTGCCAGCTTACCTGCTTATGTAAGCCAGTAGTCGGGTGCAGCCTCTCCTCTTAGCCTGTGTGGGTCTCTTCTCCCTGTCACTGGAACATGTTCCTATCTCCATTGGATCACTCCCATTGCAATGCTTAACAAAGACTTGAAACACCCCTCTATAGTCTCACTTTAGTTCTCTGATCACTTTGAGTAAAATCCCTCAAAGAGTTGCCTACATTCTGGCTTTACTTGTTCAGACTTAATATCTCAGACTGACATTAAACAATTTTGTGTCACCCTTGCTGCAGTGAAGCTATTGTCAAAACAACCAATTCTTAGCCTCTCTTACCTCAGCAGTACAGTTGCCATTCCTCCCTTAAACTTGTTTTTTTTTTTTTTTTTTTTTTTTTTTAAGTACTGTGGACATGGCTCAGTGGTAGGATCCATGGCTAGCATGTGTGAAGCCCTGGATTCACACCCTGACCCAGCACTGTAAAACCATGACTTCAGGTTTTCACTTACTACAACTTCCTTGCTGTTTTCCCTCTTTGCTAAATAATGGATGGCCTGAGGCTTATCCCTAGCCCTTTTCTATCTGTCCTGACTCCCAAGGGATCTCATCCAACCTCATGGCTCCCCTACCTCATCTCCATGGTAAGTTAGGTTCCACTTTTGTTGTATGACTTCGATTTATAACTTCTGAGCTAGGCTCTCACCCAGCTGTTGACCCGAGGCCTCTTCTCTACATTGATGTCAAATGAGACATCTAAGTTGTGTCTAAAACAGCATCTCTTCCCCTCAGTTCTACTTCTTCATTGTACAGTCCTCAATTTAGTAGGTGCTCCAGTCGTCTCAGAGTTGCAAGGTGTATTATTTCCCTCATACCTGACCACCCAGTCCACTAGCAGATTCTGTCTGCTCAGCTTCTCATACTGAGGTCTTGCCTCTCCACTTTTTTTTAAAGATTTATTTATTCATTCATTCATTCATTTATTTATTTATTATATAGTATTCTGCCTGCATGTGTGCCTAGATGCCAGAAGAAGGCACCAGATCTCAGTATAGATGGTTGTGAGCTACCATGTAGTTGCTGGGAATTGAACTCAGGTCCTCTGGAAGAACACCCAGTGCTCTTAACCTCTGAGCCATCTCTCTAGCGCCTCTCCAGTCTTCTATCAGTTTTTGCCTGAACTGTTCAAAGGCCTAATGTTCATTATGTCCCTTCTGGTTTCAACATAGCAGAGTTCATTTCTTAAGGAATACAAATTTCGGCTAGGTGTCTAACTCAGTTGGTAGAGCACTTGCCTAAACTCAGGAAGAACCCTGAGTCTAATCCCCAGCACTTGTGGTGGTGCACACCTCTAATTCCAGCACTCAGCTGCAGGGAGAAGGATCAGAAGTTTAAGGTCATCCTCTACTACATAGCCAGTGGTGAAATGATCTGGCTATATGAGACCCTATTTATCTACCTATCTATCCATCTATCTATCTATCTACCTACCTACCTATCTATCTATCTATCTATCTATCTACCTACCTACCTACCTACCTACCTACCTATCGACCTATCTACCTACCTACCTACCTACCTACCTATCTTTTTTGAGACAGGGTTTTCTCTATGTAGCCCTGGGTGTCCTAAACTCTGTAGATTAGGCTGGCCTCAAACTCACAGAAATCCCCCCACCTCTGCCTTCCAAGAGCTAATATTAAAGGTGTGCACCACCACACCAGGCTTTTGTGTGTGTGTGTGTGTGTGTGTGTGTGTGTGTGTGTGTGTGTGTGTGT